GAGTTGTTGATCATGGTTGTTACTATTGAATAAAATTATTGTCATATTCATTAATTAAACCAATAATAATATTGTATCATTATGTTTCTATGTATTATGTCAAAAATAAGCACAACAGATGTGCTTGAAACCCATAATATTAGTCCATAGTTAAGTGAATGCACTGAGGAATTGCAATCTGCAATCAAGGAAATAACAATTCAAGTTACATTATTTCAAATATTGTAATTTTTTGGTGAGCTTTTTTTCAAACTACATGAAAATTAATAGACTTTCACCCCAAAGCACAATTTGTAAACACATCTGTAAATCGTTTACTGAAATATAATTTCAAAGTTTTGTTAATGATTGTGATCTCTCTGAATGCCTTTTATGTGTTTTGTATTATCGATAAAGAAAGCACAGTTCAAACGTTCCGAAGGATAGAGGTTCACATAATAGTGTTCATTTTGTGTCTACAACCAAAGGCTGTGAAAAGAACGCCGTTACTGGAAATGTGTGTTCAGGGGGTGACGACTGAAAAAAATAGTTATGGTAGTCTGTTTAGCTTCATATTTGGTTGTTCTTTAATTATAAAAAAATAGTGCATCAAAAATTGAAATATCTGGACAATTAACAGAGTACAATTGTTACATTCTGACTCATATAATAATATTTTATGTTTAGCTGCAAATATCCTTATACTCAATCTGCAGTATCATATGTAGTCATTTGCTCATTGAACATCTTATACTACAGATAAACACACTCGTACAATTACTCATTTGTAGAATCCATTTCAACCAGCATTCCATTTGAATCGTCAACAAAAGAAGTACCATCAACTACACCCGAACTGACTCCATCTCACAAAAGGACGACTGAAACAGGTAACAATTCATCTGGCTACATTCTTTGGCTGTTGCTGAATTCATATCCGCAAAAATCATAGACCGGCTTTGTTGTTCTGCATGTATTTTGGTCGATTTAGGGCGAATATCTTTGAAAACAATGTTTATAGAAGTCTGTTTAGCTTCACATGCGGTTGTACTGTCATTATAAAAAAACGTTAGAGCATCAAACTGTGAAATATCTGGACAAATAATAATGTACAATTGTTACATTGTGACTCATATATTATTATTTTATTTTTAGTTGCAATGGATCCTAATACAAATTGTGTAGTATTGTATCTAAGCATTTGCTCATTGAACATCTTCTGCTACTCATAAACACATTCGTGCATTTTCTCATTCATAGATTCCATTTCAACGAGCGTTCCAGTTGTATCGACAACCAAAGAAGTAACATCAACTACACCTGAACTGACTTCACCTCACAAAAAGACGACTGAAACAGGTAACAGTTCATCTGACTACATTAATTGGCTGTTGATGACTTCTTATCTGCAAATATTACTAACAGATTTTGTTGTTCAACATGTATTTTGTTCAATATGAATCACCGAATGGCGTGAAAAGATCAATTCAGTGCTGTTTCTCAGTTACGGATCATATTGGACTGAAAAGTACTTGCTATAGAAGCTCAGTGGTGCCTGAAATGCAATACGCTAGCATGCATTTTTTTGTGACATGCCAAGAGAACGAGTAACTAAGTGTATTTCTGGTGGATTGTAGTGTATTTGGTGAAAACAGAAAGTGTGGCTACCCTCGCATGCTAGATTTGTTCCTAAATATTGTTGGAGTGATTTGTGATATTCTCAATATAACAATAGCTTGCCGTTTATTTCATCTTTCATGTAACGTATAATAACTAATTTTAATGAAATTGTGTAGATCAATATTGATAGGTAGGAATAAAACATCACATTACGAAAAGAATCATAATAATATCGTCACCAAAATCATCAAAACAAATGTTTAATTATATCAACAGCTAAACATGTACACACAGCAACAACCATACCAAATCTGGCCCGGGATGAAGAAATAACCGAAACAGGTTAGTAATATCCGACAGGATATAAACATTGGTAACTCTATTGTTATCAATAACATAATTAACTACATCTGATGTGTACAAATTTAATACTGAACAGTTAGCACTTTTTCAACAGCGTTTGTTCGAATAAGGTGGTAACACT